TTCGAAATGCATATTTCTGACTATGCCTTGCTAGCAAGAAACAAGTCACTTTAACATTGTACTAGTTATAATTTTCATTAAATACTATTGATTTTTTGTATTTTTATTAATATAAAAATAGAAAAATCCTTTTGCTGAACGTGGACATCAGCTGCCTTATCTATCAGATAACCTGTGCTGTGTCAAGTGTACCATTTTTGACGCTAGACGGCAATGTTTCTTAAATTGCTTATACCTACATATCATCCTAAAAGCTTTTGTAATTTAACTAAATAAGCTGTGGTGTACATTAAGTTAAAAATGGTATTTTTTGAGTTTTACGTGTATAATACATTGCAAAATATGTATGATTCATATTTTATGCAGGGAGAACACGCAGATATTTGCACTTAGTGTTCATATTTTAAAAAGATTACACACCCAACATAAATCAACTACTAAATTCAACCCGTACAAAGCCATGGCGAGTCGCTTGTATTTTTTTCATAGAACAGGAGTAAGAAACGAGTACACAGTCTAGTCGATGATAAGGAAATGCGTGGCCCATAGTCATCTACATCTATCTTCGATTAAGAATCAAAATGCAGATACACAATTTGCATAAATATGTATACTAAAATACCCTTCAACTAATATTGATTCGAATGGTGATCGCTACTAAGTAGTTTTTTTTTAAATTAAGTAAGCAACAATATTATTCTACTCATACTTGTTTTGAAAATAGTTAATAAACTGCGTTTATTTTTACTTCCGGATGCTTTATAATATACTTGCTTACAATCTTTCTATTAAATTAATGTCGTTGAGGCAGTTGTTAGTGGTGATAATAAGCACTTCCGTTAATAAGTACATTTATATTTAATTTGTTAGGACGATAGTTATTAGCTATTTTAGGATCCCATAGTTTTCGTCAAATTCTACATTTCGTACAAATTCTATATTTAAAAGGACTGAAATAATTCGTATTCACAATACAACTATTTAAAAAAATATATACAGGGTTATTCTTCAAAGAGTAGCCAAAATTTAAACTGAAGTTGAATTTTTTTTTATGATGATGGTAAGTGGTTGCTGTGGCCCATAGACATCTACATCTATCCTCGATTAAGAATCAAAGCATTGTCAACCCTGAGGACTACGATGGAATGCCTCGTTTCCAGTAAAAAGGGTTTCTGGATCTCTACACTCACCATACGAAACACAGTAGTAATACGCTGCTATTTTACGCTGGTATTTAGTGAGAGCGTTGTTTTTCCACGGTCGAGCCGACTCATTCCTGCTACAACCATATTATAGCTACAGCGTGGCTCTACCACCCATCAATAATGATATACCGTTATTGCAGTTTTTAAAATACGAGTAAATAAGGCTTCTACTTTTATTTGATATTATCCCACGATGAATGTGAAATAAGAGCAACGTTTTGCCTACCGATCGACTCTTACAAATGTGTGCTAGCGCAGTAAAATCAGTTAAAATAATGCATTACCACGCATTTTGAATTTAAAAGATAAAAATCGAATGTTTGAGTTTTTTTTTGCACCATTTGTCTATAAGGTGGGTGTACCATGGAAGGCCACTCTAACAAATAAACAGTTATAATTCGTTTATTTAGGTACTGGATAAATGTAACTAACAAATATTTAAGTAATACTTTGTTTTATATATAGTTGTGGTCACATAATTAAGAACGATTTGAAGTTCTAGAGTTTTTTATTTAAAACATGTCGTACACAGAGACGTGCACCTTCTGAGAAGCAACTAGTTATGTTATAAAATAGCCACATTAATAGAGCAATGTGGCTTATGAATAAAGAATAAAATCACTAACTTTTTTTCACATTTTATTTATTTTACCAAAGTAACTCATGCAAATAATACTGAAACTGGACAAATAATTAAGAACGATTTATTAAACTGCTCGGAAATTGTTTTGTATGACACTTACATTTAAAAAACACAATAATATGCAGCGCGGAAAATTTAAAAAGCAATTTAATACATTTTTAACTAAAATTTATAGTCAGTAGCATATCCACGGCTTTTAATTACAGCTTTACACCGGCGAGGCATTGACTCTATTAATTTTTGACATTTCGCAAGAGAAATACAGTTCCGTTCTACTAAAAAAAAACGTCATACAGCTCTCTTAAATTCCCACACTATGTATTTGAAACCTTTTTCTTTACTTCGAACCACAGATTTTCTATTGGGCTTAGATCTGGGCTGTTAGCTGGCCAGTCTAAGACAGAAACTGATTGCACTGTAAGAAATTCCTTTACAGTGCGTGCAGTGTGCTTTGGATCATTGTCATGCTGAAACGTCCAAATATCCGGTAGAAGGTCTTCAGAATAAGGTAACATTGTCTTCTAGTATATTTTTGTATTGGAACCGATCCATGTTACCTTCTATCGACTTTACAGGTCCAACACCATGACCAGAAAAGCACCCCTAGATTTTCACATTTCCACCACCGTGCTTTAATGTAACTGTCGTGTACTTGGGGTTTAATGCTGTATTCGGGGGACGTCGTACATATCGTTTTCCATCAGAACATACTCTGTTTATTTTCCTCTCGTCAGAAAAAAGTACATTTTTCCACCGTCGCACAGTCCAGTTTCCATACTTTCTCGCAAATGCAAGCCGGGCTTGCCTGTGGCAAAGTTTCAACATGGGTACCTTTCTTGCTATCCTACCGTGCAATTTTTCTTCTACCAAACGTCTTCGAATAGTGCGTGCTGAGATTGCTGAAGAGTTGTTTTCACCAAAATATTCTTTTCTCAGCTAATTGGACCCTTTAAAAGGATTTTGTTTTGCCGTACGAACAATGTTTCGGTCATCTCGAGGAGTTGTTTTTCTCTGTTTAGGTACACGTGGAACATTCGAAGAAGTTTGATACGTAGCAAAATGCTTTACAGCGTGTAAAACCATCGTTTTTGAACATTGCAGGTGGTCGGCTATCATTTTATAAGACCAATTCTTCCGGCGAAGTTTTATTATTACTTCCCTTGTAGATTTATCACAACTTTTATATTTTTTGTACCTTGTTGAACAAAACGCGTAACCGACGCTGTTTCGACGGCGTTTACGACTTTTTTCTCGCGAGTATTGAGCTATAATGCTTCCTATCTCATTTTGTACCACGTTAAATCTAATGTCATTTTGTACCACGTTAAGTCTTATGTGTCTGTCTCTTTTTCGTTTTTTTATAGGATAGAGTGACAAACGAGCACACAGTCCACCTGATGGTAAGTAGTTGCTGCGGCCCATAGACATCTACATTTATCCTTGATTACGAATCAAAATGCAGATGCGTTGTCACCCATGAACACTAAGATGGAATGCCTCGTTACCAGTAAAAAAGGGCTCCGGTTCTCTACACTCACCATACGAAGCACAGCAGCATTAAGCTACTATTTTACGCTGGTATTCTGTGAGAGCGTGGTCCTTCCCCGGTCGAGCCGACCCATTCGTGCTACAACTATACTACTAATATAACTGCAGCATGGCTCTACCATGTATAAAACGTTTCATAGACTTTCAAATCACAATAATGCTAAAGAAGTTTTCACTTCAAAAGTTAAATATGTTACAACGGGAGGTCTTATCGCCAAAGACTATTTTCAACCGACTTCAAAAAAGGAGGAAATGCTCAATTCGACTGTATTTTTTATGTGTTACTTCAGAGCTTTTTTCTAGGTGAACCGATTTTGAAGATTCTTTTTTTATTTGAAAGCTGGTACTGCTGTCCCATAATCATAATCTGACCTCTGATCTGTAGTTTTGAGCTATCTTTAATAATGCGCATCCAATTGATTTCGACTACATTAATTATCTCATTTTATTTATAGTGAAGTTGGTTGTACAAAATTTTTAATTTTACCACTTCTATTTATATTGAAGTCGGTTGCACAAAATTTTTAATTTCACCACTTGTTTCTCGACAAATCCTTTATTTTGTATCTTTATTACTATTATTATTATTATTTTTCATTAATTAAATCCTATCAAAAGTCTACTGAACGTGCCTCTACCATAGATTACCCCATAGAAGGATATTTGCCATTCGACACGCTTAGCTGGTAGGTTGGCAACCGCTAGTCTTAGGTACTGTTTTTATATTATATCAGGAAAAACCTGCTGCCCACCTACTAATTCATTTCCTTCTTCGGCCTGGAACGACTCCCACAAGTTGATAAGGGGTTAGTGTATTTTTAATATTATACAATTTTACTAGTAGTGTAGTGTGTATATTGTGATATGTTAGTGTATTTTTAATATTATACAATTTTACTAGTAGTGTAGTGTGTATATTGTGATATGAGTTGGATGGGTAAGAGATAATGAAACTGAAACAAGACACGAGGAGCGGCACCTTTCTAGTTACAACGCAAATAATAACAAAAAAAAATCTGCGGTTCCGACCCTCCTGCCAACTCATATCCCTCTTATCTATACCTACTAGCTGTTTGCCTTGGCTAATTGTTGATTCTCTATAGTCTCGTATATCTATAACGTCAATATTCACAAACTAATGACAAGGGCTAGCGTAGTCTATATTTCTTTGTTAACTTTACTTAAAAGAATTAGGAATAAAATATAAAAATGACTTAGCATTGATGCAATGCAATTACTTGTATTAGTATTATTTATTCTGTGGTATTAGTTTACAAAAAGTAGGTAAGTACGAACGACTAAAGTACAAACTACAACAATTACAACAGGAATAGGTAGTACCTTTGTAAAAGCGAAAACAAATAAAACCACATTTAAATCGTTATTCATGAAATCATGAAACCTGTATCAAATTTATTGTAATTTTTATTTCTTAATTTGTAAGTCATTTAACAAATAAACGTTAAGTAAAGGAATTTATACCACTCCAACTACGTAAGTATCCAATCAACTTTACATACCTAATATGATCATTTAGGGCATAAGTAACGTAAAGAATATTTCGCCGACAAAATGACAACAACAAAACACTTTTAAATGTGCGTTTATTGATTAAAGTACAAAAATGAGATCATAAGAGAAAGTCCTAAATGCACTTTCCAAAGAGGCGACAGTGCTACTGCAGCACCAAGCAGCGGGAAGCAACGAAAACCCGAATGTCGAATGTAATAGCCAACTTGATTTGGGAAGCGGCAATCCGCATCTGAAAGTTATTTGCAAAAAGTAATACTCTCATAATAAAATTAAAAAAAAAACCGGGAATATGCATGCTAGGGGAAGATTATCCCTTGTGCAGATTATCATTAACATCATAAAATAAAATAAAATGCTACAATGGCAAAAAATAATCTATAATAATATTTATTGATAAGTAAGTTGTGTTGTTGTCGATATTTCTCAGTCTCGACAACAGCGCCACTTACCGGGTCCAACTATAGCTGACTTAGAGTAAGTAATTTCCGTTCAACTCCAAGTGATAAAGTGATACATTTCATTACATTTCATCAAGATTATGGAGTGTAGAAGTAATCAAGATCGCTCAAGCCGTTTAGGAGAGGAATTACGAACACACGCACACTGGAATATTATATACGTTATGTACATAATATATAATATTCCAGTTGAGATTTAATAACAAAGAAATATTTTCAAAAAAATATCCCGATTTATAGTTCCCAAACTAATTACAAAACTAGGTAGGTATGACGAAAAACTTTGCATGCTAAAGGTTGATGTTTCAAAAATTATACTATTGTGGATGTATTTACAAGATATCTCGAGAACTACTTAACAAAACGACCTAATTTTTTTTCACTATCTTCAGAATCATGTAGAGCTGGTTCCTTTCGATAGTATTTGTGTAAAATATTACCTACATCAGCGTTTGGGGCGTAGACCACGGTCTGGGGTGTGCACTTTTGGATTAGCAGTTTTTTTTTTATAATTTTGCATTCTCAGTTAAATTATAACACGTAAGGGAAATAAATAGATAGGAAAAATATCGAACCGTAATATTTTCATAAAAGATTTTACAAGTAGCTTCATAAATAGGTCGACAGATTATGTATGTAATCGAAGATATATTTTAAATTATTTATGTATTGGAATTAAAAAATCTTATTTACAATTATATCACAGACTTATATTTTATAAATATAATATACAAATTAGTCGTCCGAAACGGTTTCAATAATTTGGATGAAATTTTTGAATTTAGATAATATCTTATGTCAAATGTATTTAGATAATTTATAACGTATCCATTATCTCTACACTCCATAAATGTAGGTATCACTCTTATAATTTTTATTTTCTAACGTTGAGTAAAGTTGTTGCCAAAACCATTGATATCTCAATACTTCATAATCAAAACTTATTTTTACAAATAATAGTTCTATATGATCCTTAATTTCAACCCAACCAGCAACGGCGCCGTGGCTTAGTTGGTTAAAGCGCCTGTCTAGTAAACAGGAGATCGGGGGTTCGAATCCCCCCGGGGCCTAACTGTGTTTTAACAGTACATTTTTTGTGTCTTTATTTTAAATATCTTAAATATTTCAATGTGTTCTTACGGGCACAAGCATTCAACGTAGACAATATGGTCACTGCAAAGTACGCAGGCGGGCAAAAGCCTGGTGAAGGACAAGGTGTGGTGAGGTTAAACGTGTATACATCTCGTTCACTCAATGTTTGGCATCCTTGTGATGTCTCAGCACCACGCCACAGGCACACCAATATTCTGCCGTGCGCATCATTACGAAACTGAAATTATAAATAATATACTGAAAATTAACTAATAAATTAATATAAGTTTTCTCATAAAGCCATGATCAATAAGAATTGGTTATTTTTTAACATAATAATATGCGTAACGGCACTATGTTTATATTAAATATTATATAATATTATATTTATAAGTACATTGCCATCTATAAAGAAAATAATGATTTGATACATGTTCGTGAAGCCTTATGTTAGTTTATGAGTCGTATCATTCTAATAGATGGCGCTGTTTTTTACCTGTACATGTATACGCGCTTGGTGTAATAAGTAAAAAGGATGAATACGATAGTATTGCTTCCGACCAGGCAATATCGCATCTTCATAAGGTACTTGATCATACCATGTGCCATTAAAGGGACACTGAGCACCAACTACTTTTTTGGGAATATCAGATTTTATCAAATATGTATCTATTGCATTAGTTACATCTAGCACATTAGTTGAAGTTAACTGAAAAAGAAGAAAGTATTTTTAAATTTAGATGGCGTCAAGTTGATTTTAGCCAATTTAGAACAAATAATACATAGGTATATATTATTAAAACAAAAAATATGCAATGTTACATAAACAGCTTCGATTATTTAGGTGTTACTGCTCACCGTGATAAAAATTTCCGAATAGTCCATATATTCATTGTTAATATTTTTAAAATTTGTTAAGTCCTGAGCTGCATAGACGAAATATGCATCAAAGTAAGTCGACCTAATTGAATACATTAGTTCCCTAGACCTTTCAAGCTCATTGCCAGTGAGCTGGTCATTTGGGCTGATCACTAATACAACCGTATTGCGCCCTGCACTGGCTTTTTTGGAGAAAATGTCTTGCAGTGTTTGATTACGCAATTGCACGTTTATTCTTGATAGTATATTTGGTAGATTGAGACGATTTGGCCCTGTGAAAATTGAAAAATGTAAAATAAATTTAACGCCTTCCCTTTCTAGTTCGACAATACCTGCCTTATCGAAGATCGTCACCATTTTCACCACTTGATTATAACGCCATCTATTGGTGTCTCATCTCAATATTTAAATAAATAAAAATAGTACATATGTTCGCATCGCTGTAGGACCGCGAGATCGAATCCCGCAGGGACCAATGTCTGCATGAACACACAAGGTTCATATGGTTCATATGCTATTTATATTTATGTATCTAAGTCGTCTGCACTGCACAATACATGAGAAAATCCCGCCGTGGGTGTAACGCTTTTGAGATAACCTATAAAAATGTATAGATTGGACTATAAAATGATAATATAATAATGCACGCTGATGTCGATGTAAGCAACGATATAGATGAGGATAACTGTATAACGAGAACGTATGAAATTATTTACTATTAATAACTATTACTATTTAGTAATCGATATCGTGCCGACTCATTTGTTTGACTCGTTGCCACAGAGTAAAAAATAGTCGCTGCTGACTAACAAATGAATAAGTTCGAGGTTGGCATCCCCTATTATTTGCATAGAAAAATAAAAATCCTCCTGTTATTTGTAAAATTGTTTTCGCTTTTTCATAAAGAATAGGTGATTGTAATTATAATTTAAAATATATACTAATATTTATGGTAATTAAGCGAAAATACTTTTGTTACGTATTGAGTTCACGACAATAGTCGAATGAAGCTTTGTCTTAATTTCACATTACCCTTAACCCTTAGGCAAAGATGTTTTATAGGTATAAAACATCTTTACCCTTAGGCTAGTATTGTTTAATTTTTTTATTTAATAACTCACAAAATACATTACTTACGTACATTCGTCAGTGAAATTAGCGATATGACTAAAGAAAACAGTCATGTTGTTAGATGGGGGGACGATCCATCGACCCGTGTTGCCATGAAGCAATGCTATGGTACTTCTCTGTTGGTCTATTTCTAACGCTCTGCCGATCCAACTGCATAAAATATGTTTGATTGGAATTTTCCATATTATTGCTGGGATTGTTAAATATAAAGTAAAAGTAAAAAGTTGACATACATCCTACTGCAAGTCACTGGTCCCTCATTTCTAAGAGAGTTTTTAGGGGGTAATCTGTGGTTTTAGGGAAACGTCCGCCCGGCTCTGCAATGCGTGTTGACAAACTTCACATATCTCCGAAATATCTCCGAAATATATAGACTCGAAAATAATAAAAGCAATATTGGTAAAATACTTTTTAGTTTTACCGCCGGACACGGTGACTTAAAATTACTACGGTGCCAGCCGGTATCCAACTCCATGAGTTAGCGAATGATCCTTATAAGCCTTTTTAAGGATGTGCAAGTTGATAAGCATTTCTTGATAGCTACCGAGAGTACAGTAAGCTTGGTAGAGTTGCCTATACCCTCGCACTAGTAATATTGCTTCCCATTACCTTTTGCGTGTTTTTAAATGAATTTTTTGTCACTATTCGGTCGTTAGAACCTCCTCTGCAATCAGGGGGTAACGATTAGGTGAAGTAGGTATTTGAACAAAAAATATATAAATAATTTTGTATGTTTTTTTTAAACTGTGTACAATCAAATTCTGGAGAATAAATAAATATTTTTTTCCTAAACATGATCCTAAAACTGCTCTTTGGGCTCTGCCTACCCCCCTCGAGAATAACAGAAGTGAAGCTTTATTTATGAATAGTGATGCAGCTTAATATATTAAGTAATAAGTAATAAATATAATTACGTTTAGAAATTTTACAATGATGATATTGGACTGTCAGTTTAAATTAATAATATTTTACGATTTCATATAACTTCTTAAACTGTTATTTAATCTGTGATATAACCAATAATCAAGTGAATTGGTTGGAACTGAAATGTGATAAAATTATCGTAACCATTAGTACCGTGCAACCACGTGCAACCTATCAAAAGTTCACAGCTGGACGAGGGCCTCCCCCATAGACGGCTCATTAGGGAATTTGGTAATAGTTGCCAGGCTTGGCAGGCGGGTCAGCAATCGCGTTTTTTTTTATTTTTTGTCGTTATAAGGAAGACAATCCTACCCATTTGCTGGTTTGTGTCTCTTCGCCGCCTCTTACGACACCCACGTGATTAAATAAGGTAGTGGATCTTTTTATACCGCTATTGAACGGTGTATGTAAGTGAAGGGTTAAATCAGTTCTACCGTAATTAATTTAATAAAACCCTGCTAATGACTATTGAGAACATAGCATACATAAATATACTCACGACATAAACTGCTCCACGTCATATCCTTTCCAGGAGCCATCAGTCGCAACTATTAAGTCCATCTCAGGGACATTATGGCTCAATTGACAATTCTGGTGATACCTTTGCAGTACAGACGCTAAAATAAAGAAACTTAATATAAGTTTTGATCGGTTTTATAGTATTTAGTTATGAATTACCTATTTCATTATCAACACACATTTAACAGTGGTAGAGCCACGCGGCAGCTTTGCTGTTACACGTATGGGCCGGCTCAAACCGGGATGGTACCACGTTCTCACAGAATACCGGCGTGAAGTGGAAGCTCTGCTTCCGTGTTTCGTCTGGTGAGTGCAGGTGGCCGGAGGCCCAAATCCCCCCCCCCCATCAACATAGTGGCGGAATTAAATGATGATAGACTACCCCACGAGGGTACCAGCACCCCTGGAGAATCCCTCGCTGAGCATCCACGACCATGTTTCTCCACTTCTGAGCGTGGGTGCTCAGGCTGGCCCGCGTATTCTGGGGGGAGGGGGGGGCAAAAATTTCGCTCAAGACTACAACTGCTCGGGGCAAACGGAGCAACAAGACCAAGGCGACCCCTGCCACGCTGTCCGTGAATTTCTGCAATATCAGGGGACTTCACTCTAACCTAAACGCCGTCCACTACCATCTCGAGACGGCGAGGCCGGCTCTGCTCTTTCTGACCGAGACGCAGGTGTCCTCTCCGGCTGATGTCTTGCATCTCTCCTACCCAGGGTACAAACTGGAACACTCCTTTGTGCCTCGGGCTGGAGTTTGCGTTTACGTCAGAGAGGACATCTGTTCTCGACGCCTCGGCGGACTTGAAGGTCACAGGTCTGACCTGTCCATCCTTTGGCTACGCGTAGTCAGCGACGACCATCCGCGCGTCTACGTGTGCCTCTATAGGTCCAATAGCGGTAATGCCGAAACAGACCGACTTTTCACAGACTTTTTACAGATTCGTTGCTACAGCAGATCCCCTCCGCAGAGATCGTGTCCTCGGCGACTTTAACGTTTAACCGATCATGCGGGGAGATCTGTTCATGATTTTACCTTGGCATATGGTCTGACACAACTGGTTACTTCGCCTACGCGGATTCCAAATGTGGAGGATCACGCACCTTCCCTGTTGGACCTTCTGCTGACCTCTCACCCGGACGGATATCAGATTTCCGTCGACGCCCCTTTAGGCTCCTCGGACCATTGTCTTGTCCGGAGTGTGGTGCCACTCACGCTGAAATCGCAGTTGCATTCTGCAGGCTGCCGCCGTGTTTGGCACTATAGTTCAGCCGATTGGGATGGGATGCGGTCTTTCTTTGCATCCTACCCTTGGGGCGGGTTTGCTTCTCGCCGGACGATCCCAACGTTGTTTCGGTTTCTGTTGCCGATGTGGTACTTCAGCGTATAGAACTTTTTATTCCTTCCTCTGTGGTGCCCATTGGCGACAAATCTCAGCCATGGTTTGGTCGCTCCTGTAAAATAGCATCATGCTATAAGCAAGAGTGCTACCAAGCCTGGGCTGACGCATCAACGTCCCGGGATGTAAATACCAGCGCTCTAAAAAAGAAGTATAATTCCGCCTTTAGGTCCTTCAAAAGAGTCATTGCAGGCAAAGTCAGAGCACATAGGCAGAATTGGCGAGAAACTAGTTCGCCTTCCTTCTGGAACCCGTGCATTCTGGTCTCTCGCCAAGGCTGTCCAGGGGAATTTCTGTCAGCCATCTCTTCCATCTCTGTACAGGGAGGACGACTCACTGGCACATACCGCAAAGGAGAAAGCCGATCTTCTAGGCTCTTTCTTGCGTCCAACTCGACTCTCGATGACGGGGGGAGTACGCCGCCGACCATGCCGCGTGTGAGTGCTCTATGCCGGAAGTGCAGTTCACAAAACGCTCGGTTCGCAAAGCACTCCTCTCCCTGGATATCCACAAGTCGAGTGGGCCTGACGGAATCCCTTCAATTGTGCTGAGGACGTGTGCTCCAGAGTTGGCACCGGTTTTAACGCGTTTTTACCGGTACTCCTACTCCCTAGGCGTAGTCCCAAAATAATGGGAGACGGCTTTCGTCCACCCGATCCCTAAAAAAAGGCGACCGCTCCGACCCGTCCAACTACCGGCCTATCGCCATCACCTCCTTGTTCTCCAAAACAATGGAGTCCATTGTAAAAAGCCAGCTCATGAGGTGACCTTGAGGATCACCAGCTGATTAGTGACCGCCAATAAGGTTTTCGTCGTGGTCGGTCAGCTGGTGATCTTCTGATCTACCTAACTCACAGATGGGCGGAGGCAGTAGAGTCCAAGGAGGAGGTATTGGCCGTTAGTTTGGACATTGCGAAGGCCTTCGATCGGGTTTGGCACAAAGCGCTTCTTTCGAAGCTCCCTTCCTATGGGCTTCCCGAGAAATTGTGCGATTGGATCACCAGCTTTCTTGCAGATCGGAGCATCAAGGTCTTTTTCGATTTCTTCTGCATATCAATGATATGTTGCAAACCCGAAACATTCATTGCGATGCAGATGACAGCACTGGTGATGCTCTTTACACCGGCCGAGCCAATATTTCTCGGGAAAACGTCTCCGAGTGCCGGGACAAACATGTGCCTGAAGTCGAGTCTTTGTTGAACAGAGTCTCGGATTGGGGTTGGGGGCGACTAAATCTAGTCCAGTTTAACCCCCAGAAGACACAAGTTTGCGCGTTAACCGCTAAAAAGAACCCCTTTGTCGTATCTCCTCAGTTTCAAGGCACTTCCCTTGTTGCCTCAGCCAGTATCGGAATCCTCGGCGTCAACATATTGAGTGACGAGCAGTTTCGTGGTCACTTGGAAGAGAAGGCCAAACTGGCCTCTAAAAAGCTTGGCGTGCTCAGCAGAGCGGGACAGTATTTCATGCCGGCACACCGCCTGCAACTTTACAAGGCGCGGGTTCGGCCGCACATGGAATACTGTTCCCATGTCTGGGCTGGAGCTCCCCATTACCAGCTCCTTTCACTTGACCGCATCCAGCGCAGAGCGGCTCGAATCGTCGACGACCGAGTGCTTTCCGATCGGCTCGATTCACTGGCACTGCGAAGAGATGTTGCATCTCTTTGCATTTTTTTCGCATATACCATGGAGAGTGCTCTGAGGAATTGTTCGGATCAATCCCAGCCGCCAAATTTCGTGAACGCACTACGTGGCAAACGTCCGGATACCATCCACACCATCTGGATGCTTGGCGGTCCACCACTGTACGTTTCAAAAGGAGTTTTCTTCCGCGTACAACCTCTCTGCGGAATAGTTTACCACCGGCGATTTTTCCGGACCAATACAACCAGGGGACCTTCAAGAAAAGAGCTTACTCCTTTCTAAAGGACCGGCTACGCAACTGCAATTCCCCTGGCGTTGCGGTTGATCATGGCGGGCGGTAGTCACTTAACATCAGGTGAACCGCATGCTCGTTTTCCCCCTCTTCCATAAAAAAAAACATAGATCCAATATGGAAATAATATGCCTACGTGTACTTTTTTTGACTGCCTCGTTGGTCTAGTGGTTGTAGTAGTGCAACTGCTGATCGTGAGGTCCTGGGTTCGAATCCCGTATCAGGCCAAAAATCAATTATTGGGTTTTTCCGTCAAGAAATTCTCAGTAGCTGCCAGGAGTCAGGAAGTTGGCGGTGTCTCACCCCCGTTCCTCGGAAAGCACGTAAAGCCGTTGGTCCTGCGCGTGATCACTCTCCCGGTCGTCAGTTTACCGTCCCATCGGATTACGAGAGTGAGGAAATAGAGATTCCACCTGTGCTTGCGCATACACTTGGGCACTATAATCCTGCCCTGCGCCGATGGCTAGCCTCCGTTGAGGCAGGCCGTCGTGACCGAAATTCGGTCTGGAGGACATTATTATTATTATGTGTACTTTTTAATAATAAAGTACTTACAGACATCGTACTATATTACTCGTAGTAGTAATATCTCAATGCTTACTACAAATGATTATTTATTCAAAGTACTCACGGACATATTCCATGAAAGCTGTGACAGCAGCTTCACTAATTCTCTGCATTTCTTCTAATGGTATATAAACGGTTATTTGTTTCAGAGACAAAATGTGCGCAAATCTCAAAGTCTGCACCGTCAACAGCGAACTGTTTACAGCATTCGTGAATAAAGAGAGCCGGTTGCAAGCCCGCACTGTGGGCTCAAACGATACTCCCTCGTTTGAATAGTACATTTCTAGCACTTGAGATAACCTCAGCGATCTGCGCTGTTCTATCCAAGGACGGCACGTAGCTCGCTAATATTAAGCCTGTAATGTATATATATTTCTATAAGGTGGACATTTAATATCTGAGACCGAAGCAACCCATATACAACTTCATATCTATCATAACTGTTTTGAGAACACTATTTCAAGAAAATCTCCATTTTTCTGCGTGGTAAAGTCATGTTGGAGTTATATTATGATTGTAGCACCAATGGGTTGGCTCGACCGGGGAAGGACCACGCTCCCATAGATTACCAGCATAAAATAGCTGATAAATGCTGCTGTATTTCGTATGGTGAGTGAAGAGAACCGGAGATCCCTTGATACGAGGCATTCCAGCTTAGTCCACAAAGGTGACAACACATTATCTGCATTCTGATTCTTATTCGAGGATAGATGTAGATGTCTATGGGCTAGAGCATCCACTTACCATCAGGTGTTCATCAATCACCAAAAGTACGATACTTTTCTGTTTCTATCTTACTAGTATTTTGTATTATAAATCCCTATGTATTGTACTTACTATATATACTTTTCCTTTTTATATATTATACAATATAATAATTATTAGACATGGTGCTTATTTATGATTCCTCCTTTTTTTAGTTTATAATCATATATTAGGTCCAGTCATGATTTTAATTCATAAAAAAACATAAACACACACGCCTGTCACCCAGAGGGGTAGGCAGAGACTACAGACTTCCATTTGGCGCGATCCTGACACACCTCTCTCGCCTCCTTCACATCCATACACCTACGCATACATGCTCGTCGGTTAAGGGTACTCCTAATTTGGCCCGTTTTTAATAAATCGCCAATTTGGTCGATAAATTTTCGCCTAGGACGTCTCTTTCCGACTCTGCCATTCACTTCTGCAACATAAATTTTCTTTGTCACTCTTTCCTCATTCATTCTTTCCATTTATTTTAATTCACCCATTGTTTAATATGACAATATTTCACGGAGGTGGTCGAGCTGCGAACAACTTTTCTCGGTTTACTTCTGGCGGTGCGATAATAATAATATTTGACTCATTGGTGGGGCACTTTGAGTATTCAACCAGTTGGGCTGCACACTGCAGTAAGACCAACCCGCCATCGTGAGATATAGTATTATACCCTTATTTTAGGGTGTTTGCAATAAATAATAAAGAAGTAAACCCAAGGGGTCACTAAGCTCAAGTAAAAATGATACAGCTTTTATTCATAATATGGTTCCTGGAACTGTTAGCGAGACCATTATGGAGGAAAAGGTTATAAAGCGGCAATGATATAAGTAAACTACTACTGGTCACTGGGTACTGGTGGTGGTGTTTTTCATGTGGTGCCATAAAGTATTTTTATGGCACCACATGAAAAACACCAGCTTTAGGGAAACATAAAAATCGGTTCACCTAAAAAAAAGTTCTGAGGTAACACACAAAAAATAAACCTCGTCTAACGAAGTCAACGCTCCGTCCCCTCGTGCTCCGATCCAGTCCCGAAACCTTTCAGCTCGAGTTACGTAACCGCTTTCAGTGCCTAGAAGATTGCAATGCAGTGACGATATGAATGACAAGCTTGTGGAAACTGTCCATGCGGTCGGAGCTAAGTTCTGCAAGACTCGCCGCAGAAGAACACAAAAACTCTCTGTTTACGCTCGATGGTAGCTGCAAATTGCAGGGCTCGCGTCTCGAGCGGTGTGAGGAAACGGTTAGCATTGTGCAGGAGGCGGGAGCTTGCTGTGCCGTACGCATCTTTTTGAAGTCGGTTGAAAAAATTGGCTAGCTTGGCAAGAGAATTGTTTATTGCAACATTAGATGTTTTGCGCCTTTAATGCTAATGGTTGTCGCCAGTCTGCGTTTATACATCTGGCATATATATATATATATATATATATATATATATATATATATATATATATATATATATATTATATGGCTATAGGTATATAATTCCGCCATTTATCGGAGAACATGAATCTTATTACAAGATGTCTCCAGATAAAGTAAATTAAAAAACTACTTTACTGTGGTTGATACATACCGTCAACTCCCGCAAGAATTTCCGCGTCTGTAAAATGCCAGTCGACAACGCCGCTGCTCTGCGGCAATAGATAAAACATACGAGGCAAAACAGAATCATTCCATCTGTTATTGCTACCGACCACCAAACGCTGTGACGATGCGCCCACTCTAGGCCCTTGATTCACTACAACTTCAGCTAAGTCACCTAGAAATTAACACATTCACTTTCATTACATCATAGGCCTCTCCCATAGATTACCCCACAGGGGAGGGGCAACCGCAGTATTTTTATTATTTTGATTTGTTATCGTTTCTTAATTGTCAATCGCCTCTGCCCATCTCCTGGTTCATTATTACTCTGTTGTCGAGCCATCTCCCATGTCTCTTACGACATTTGCGGGTTGATTCGAGGCAGAGGACTTTCTTACGCGGCCACCACTGCACAGCCGAAAACGAACTCAAGGAGTTAATATACTCATGGACCTAGACCAACATCGGTCTAAATCGCTACGCATAGATAAATGCGGTTTCTGTACCTGTTATTATGCTTTGCGTGTTTATAAATGGACATTAATTGTCCAAAGTACATCGCTGGATCTTAATACATATATGAATTAAACTGTTAAGTTGCTGCTGCCATGTTGCAACCATGTTATAGTTGTAGCACGAGTGGTCGGCTCGACTGGGTAAAGGACCATTCTCTCACAAATTATTAGCGTAAAAAAGCGGCTCAATGCTGCTGTGTTTCGAATGATGAGTGTAGAGAACCAGATACCCATTTATGGAGACGAGGCAATCCATCTTAGTCCTCATGGGTGGCAACGCATTTGAATTTTGATTCTTAATCGAGAATGGATGTAGATATCTGCGGACCACAGCATGCACTTACCATCAGGTGAACTCTGTGCTCGTCAACAACGCCGCTACCCTTATTCTCCAACTTTTTCTATAAACCATCAAGTCAAGTCACGCTTATTCTATAAAAAATATCTTAATCGCTACTGTGTTGTTATCATATTTGATCTTGTAAATTCAGTTACGTTATTAATATATCACTCATTTCACTGCCGCGAAACTTGATAGTCTAAGCAATAAATTTTATTTTAAGAAGTTCAGTTACAACCGCAACGTCTAGTCGATTAGCCATGAGGAGGACGACGCACTGAGACAAAAACACAAGCATAAGACATGTTTGGTTGCTTTGTTCTCGAGATAAAGTTACAAAAACATGTAATCAAGCTCTTGTATCTCATCCCTGAAATCCCAACCATATTTCTTCCAACATTTTAACGACAAATTTACGTAGTTTAAAAAATGTTGGGTACACATTTTTTAAGCTTTGCGAATTAAGAGATTGCACCGGTTTTGTTCTTTACAAATTTAAACTTACGTTAAAAGTTTCTTGGTCCTTTCCTTGTCTATTCTATATCTATATAAGGTGTATATTACCTACAGATCGAGCGTAAGTAATTATTGGTGACAGAACTATTCATAAAAGCCCCTAAAGAAATAAAACTTACCAGCTAGAGTCGACACCCATATATTACTGATTTCTAGCTCATCGTTAACCATTTTTGATCTTTCAAAATGTACAGTGTTGTCGCCAACAGTTAGCTTTTCAACTTGTTTCTCCCAGTCTTGTTTGGCCAACTCGATTAAAGGTTTTGATACTTCTGATTTATAAATATTGGTGCTAAATATGTCCGTGATAGACACTCGCTGCTGTTCTAATGATGCTGTTACTGCGGCTACAACTGTACCCGGTGCTATGGGACCCCAGTCTGTTTGGATGACGCCATTTTCTATTGGGCATCTACTGTGTATTCTGGAAAATAATATTTTTAAATTAATATCCGGTTCAACGTCTTCTAAACCAAATCTCACGCTACATGTGGTAGTGTATAACGAATGAGCCGCTGGACACCGGCGGTGGCAGTAAATATATCCAAAAAATAAAGAAAATTTTCTGACTTTGAGAATGTTTCTTCCCTTATGGTTGTCGCTTCTACGAATTAATTGTCAAATTTCATTTTAACTTAACTACTCAAACGTCCGGGTGACCATAGTCGCCTAAAACTTTTTCCGGTTGAACATTAGGGCGACTAGAGCGGCCTCTCTGACTTCTAAACTTTAAACGACTTTTGATCTATAGAATGTTACAAAAAACTTTTTAAATGTTATACTAGATGACTCTATATTAAAAAACGCGTCTATGGTTTAGTAAAAGGTCCATGCCAGGTAACAGATGGCATTGAAAAAAAAAAGAAACAAGCGTTGTGTCAAGTTTTGTGTAGTGGCCGGTTTTACTGTGAGTTCTTCATTTAAAATGTAAGTAATAATATATTTATTATACTTTTGTACTAGTGTTATATATGAAAATAATCCTCAGGATGTTTTCTTTTCGTATATCTTTAAGTTTTATAAATCCAAAGTCTGTTATGATGTTTTTATATGTGATGAAGTCGACATGCGATAACTTCGCCTTTGTGTGTCGGTCTTTCGTTAAGTTCTTGTATTGTATATTATTTATTTTAATAAAATATTTCTTATAATTAGTAAAACAGATTATTAACTATATTTAAATACATTTTTTTATTATATGAGAGCAGCTATACAGGTCTAGGTAAAGAGACCAGTATCACTGCGACCTAAAAGATCTATTCTGATCGCTGCTATGGCTATAGTTCACGCCTAGCACTATGTCTTCAATGAATCGAAGGAGTTGCTTAGCCGTGAATAATTTCACTTCTTCTGGGCGGAGTAGATAGTGTCCCAGATGAGTGTTACGTTTGCGCATTAAGGGTCCGCAATCAGTTAGGATGTGTAGAGGCGTTTCTTCCGTTATGGAACAGAACCGACACATCGTTGAGTTGCTTAGTCCCAGGATGGACATGTGCTTTTTAAGACAACAGTGTCCAGTTAGGGCTCTTTCCAGAATGCGTAACTTATTTTTACTTAATCCCAGGGCTTCTGAAGCGAGTTTACGATCAAAAGCCCGGATTAAGGTTTTAGAATGTTTTAAGCCTGGTGTGTCAGACCAGATCTTAAGTGATTTATTGTGATAAAGAGTTTCAAGGGTCAATCGGGCTAGGCTTCTTGAGATTCCACAACTATCAGAGTTCATGTAAATTTTATGGTTGACGTAGTGTTTTTGCAGATTGATTTCCGCACACCGAAGTATGGCGAAAATTTCTGCCTGGAAGGTGTATCTACCCAAATTCATACTAAGTTTGAGTTTGTGGCGTTCCCCGTAAATTCCAAAGCCTACGTCGAGGCCCATTTTAGACCCATCGGTATACCATATGAGGCTACCGACCTCACAGATAACCTGGCCATTCAGCCAGTCTTCTCTGGAGGGTAATTCCACTATATACTATTTATCAAAAGTGTGTAGTGGACGCATGATATCTGAGATCATTGCTTGTAGACCGCCCTGGGCGTTAATCCTATACAAACTAGCCCTCGCCTCCTTGTCTAGTTAGAGATCAAGGGGCGTTAGGCATAGAAGTGCACTAAGAGCCGCTCCAGGCGATGATCGCATAGCTCCAGTTGATATTAAGCAGGCAGTCCTTTGTAGACTATTTAGTCTGTCCGCAGTCGTCTTTTGGTTGGCCTTGTTACACCAGACAATAGAGGCGTAGGTGAGAATCGGCCTCACTATGCTGCTGTACAGCCATAGGACCATACTGGGACGCAAGCCCCAGTTGTTCCCGACCAAACGACTGCACGTACCTAAAGCAATTTTTGCCTTATGGCATACGTTGCTAAGGTGAGAGTTCCACGTCAGTTTTTGATCGATTGTTACGCCCAAGTACTTAACTTCAGTGGAAAATTGTACTTCTTTACCATTAAGTTTTTTATTTTATTTGCCACTGCACCTTTTTAACATATAAATGGTTTTTGTTTTACAGGTTTATAGATATAGTTATAAACAATATATGGCTGCTTTTTTTATTTAATTTGGCACTGCACCATTATACAACATTACAGAAACTCCGGCGAGAGGATCAGTATCGGGGATATAGTCCGAAACAATTCTTTTTGGGATCCGACATCTTTTTTAATTTTTGGAAAAATTTCGCTAATTAATTTGAAATAGCGTTGTAATTAACATATAATTGTGGTTGTTGTTTTATAGGTATAATTTCATGATATTTCTCTTTTCATTCAATGGTTATGGTAAAACATTAAGAAAATAATGGGTTTTAATTGGTGTGGTGGTTGTTGCCATGAGCCTACAGCGAACTTATTTTTCCAAAAATTAAAAAAAACGGATTAAAAAAACTTTTTGAATATATTACGAATATATACACTTATAGAACGTAAATTCAATGAATTTAAAAAAAATTTTAAAAGATTCTGTCCGACACCGTCCGTAAATTCATGGATACCCTATGCGCCCGAGTGACGTAATCACTGTAAAGATCACCGCCTGCGCTAGCTACCTACACAACATTCCAATAAAAACACACACATAACCTGTGATGTAACTTTTCCTTCATACTTTCATCCTGGCTTAGAACAGGCAAAAAATTGAGGAATTAAGGAAAAATTGAGATTTTACTAAAAAAATGTTGTTATTTTTAATTGAATTTACGTTCAATAAGTGAAACCAAACCACTGGTTTCAAGGATAACGGTGTTTACGCTAACACTCTGTATATACATTTAAATTAATTATTTTTTATACATATAATTTTAAACTAAATTTTTAAAAATAAGTGTTTCATTTACATATTTTAATATTTATATTTAAGAAAAATAAAGTTTTGTAAACATATTTTTAATTATATTTTATATATATACTCATGCTCAAATAATCGTGTAAACGTAGCGGGCCATTTTGATGCCATTTTGCCACATTTTATAGCCGCCCGGGAGATCACCGTACACAGAACGGAGTATGTCGATATTTTAGGTATTCTTGCCTAGAAATACTTAACATTCATATAACTTTATTGGCATTATTGGATAGGGTAGATCATGTATTTTAATAATTGTACAATAAGTATATATAAATAAAATGATACTGCGATATTAACGAAGAAAATAAAAAATGTTAGGGTTTTTCATCTAAATTATTCATTTTTTTACCTGTTGTACGTCAATTGAGTAAATTATTATTATCCTAATTAAATACTGCATTTCATTAGCTTTTTGTGGGTGATTTTTATTCTGATATAGATAAAGAACTTTCTCCATGGTGACCATTAGTCAAACTGGTCACGATCCGACCGTATAAAAACATCAACGACCGGGGCCAGGACGTTCAAGGGTATTGTTGCCGCGTCGCTTGGACTTTCAATACTAATAATATAATACAATGACATTTAAACATACCTGCTGGCGCCATCATTTATTATTTTCTGTCTGTGCTCTATAGACAATGGACAAGTCAGATTTTCGTCACCCCTCTCCCACGGTTGTACCATTGAACTCAAAAGTTTATGTAATAAACAGCTTTCTATTAGTGATAGACTTTCATCCATATCTAGAAGATTCTGACTCGGCAAAAACAGATCCATTAGGAGCTTAAATTTGTAAAACTGAAATGCTGATGCTCTATATGGCAGCACAAATTCTGATTCAACCGGATTCGATGCTTGTTCTATGCCATCCAGACGGAATCTATATTAAAAAGGTTTAGACGAATTTATTAATATGTTCATAGTCATAAAGGGGATAGATCAGTGCTCGCCTTAAATAACTACCGATACCTAAATCCCTAAATTAAGAATAGACCTGTCCTAGCAGGTTAATGAATATTGACCTTTACTTTATGTTAGTTAAGTATTGTCGCAGATACCTGTATTCTTAATAATACAAGTACTAGGAATTAGAATTATAACACACATACAGATACAGATGAACTGCAAAGGATCTAAATAGTGTCTCAGGATATTACTTTTTTTATAGAATAAGGTAACAAACGTGTACACAGTCCACCTGATTCGGTAAATGGGTTTGCGGCCCATAGACATCTGTCGTTTTGCTACATTTATCCTCAAAAACCAAAATGCAGACGCGTCACCCCTGAGGACTGAGATGGAATACCTCATTTCCAGTTCTCTTTGAATGCCAATGTGTTTTTAAATGGGGAAGAACTGAGTTGTTGAATCCTCTGTTTTTCTTGCCATCACCCTCGACGCTAAGCTGCAGTGGGCACCCCATACTAAACTAGCAAGCAGACTAAGCCCTGCAGCTTATTCTGTAAAAAAGATTAGAAATCTCACTAGGGTCGAGACAGCTAAATTAGTTTATTTCAGTTATTTCCACAGTATAATGTCATATGAGATTTTGCTATGGGGAATTGCGGCTGATTTAGAATCTATTTTTGTTTTGCAGAAGAGAACCATAAGTGCTATTTACAACCTAAACCGGGAGAGTTGTACACATGGAATTTTTTTTAAAGAAATAAATATATTAACTTTGGCCTCTCAGTATATATACGAAAGTTTAATGTATGTTCACAAAAACAAAGGTAGTTTCAGTAAAAAAAGTGATACACACTCTGTAAACACTAGCAACGAACACATGCTACTGATACCAGTTTCTCGACTCCACAAAGTCAGTAATTCATTCTTGGGGTGGGGGGCGATGTATACGCTATTACAACAAAGTCCCAAAAATATACAAGGTCTCTCTATCATCAAGTTTAAATATAAATCAATACATGGTTGATAATAACCCTTGGAAATGAGGTGATCGCGTCCAAGCTATTTCTAAAATAAATTTTATAAATATTTTGTAACCATTCACATTGTAAAATTTAATTAAAAACAAAGTCCCGCTGGGTTTCTTGCTGGTTCCTCCCAGGACATAGGTTTTTTCCGAACCAGTGGTAAAGTAAAAAATGACTATCAATACGAATTGCATGTAGTCTATATTGAATAAAAAATTATTCTATTCTATACAATCACCATACGGAACATAGCAGTATATTACGCTGGTATTCTGTGAGAGCATTGTTCTTCCCCGGTTGAGCCCGCTATTCGTGCTACAACTATAATATACTTGCAGCATAGCTCTACCACGTATATTATATTACCATAAATCATAGTCATGTTATCAACTATGTGATAATGCTTTGACTTATTTTTTTAACCAAATTTAAAACATGTAAGATAAAAAGTAAAGCCGAGGTGTACTTGCATACGTACGTATCCATTTAAAACTTTTACAAGATAACTGTAGTAGGTAGATGACCTAAATTCAAAAAAAAGTAAGTAAGGCTCATGTTTAAAAACTATATAATATTAGGATTTAAAACTTTAAACAAGCAGTAATGTACCCAGCAGAAGCGTGACGGGCACCAACATATAGGGAGGAGAAGAGAGAGAGACTTTTACGGGCTGATGATGATAAAGAAGGAGAACCTACATTCATTCACATTTCAACAATACACGCAACTACATTCTATATTGTGAATGTGAACTACATTCATATTTCATATTCACAACAATCTACATTTGAAACAACATATTAGAATTTAAAAATTAGCGGCTAGTGAAAACAGATCATGAATTGAAACTCAGATTAGTGTATTTCAGGCGTGTGCTATCTGCGTAAGGTGTATGTCCCGATCCTTTAGTGTGCATGTCGTAAAAATCGACTAAAAGAAATGCTATATTATATTTATCTTATCCTCATTAACAGATGGTAAATTACCCGCCTAATATTCAAGTTGCACCACAAACTAACGGGTCACATCGACTGGTAATTTGGTGATACATGGATATTTCGATGTTTTAGTATTATACACTGGCGGCTTTTCATTAATAGGTATAATAAAGATTTTTTACTTCCACGTTCAAAGTAATAAATCTGTAAACAAGAACTATACAAACCTTCTTAATAATGAAGCACTAAACAATCTCATATCCAGTCGAGCAGATAGTTCTAAACGTTTCACAATTGACAGGAATACGTCGAGACGATGCGGTGCATTCAGAAGCGGACCTCCATTGCGATAGCAAGCGATCAAATGGGCTGGTACGCTTGACATAACTTCAGCTTCAGCAGCTATGTAATACAAGAAAAGATTCGTAGTTACCCATGATGTTCTTCCGCACACCACAACCTTGTAAAATTTCGGGATTAAAATGCCGTAAGTATATTTTTATGCCGTGTAGTGGCGGTTAAGAATATCCACTACCCCATATCTTCCCGTGGGTGTCGTAAGAGGCGACAGAGGGAGACAGGCAGGAGATGGGCAGCAGCGTCTTCCTGATGACAACTGTGACGTAATAAAAAACTGCGGTTGCCAACCCGCTCGCCAAGCGTGGCAACTATGGCAAATACCCCCCAATGAACAAATACACAAACAGACGGCCCCCAGTCCCCGGCGGCCCCGCTATTCCTGGCTACGGTGGCGACCATGGTAACGGCGGGGCAGGGGGTGCTAAGAATCTCCGGTGGAGGTTCGGTTGCCACCTACGACGACTCGACCTGGCAACATATAACGCACGCACCCTGAGGACTGACGAGAAGATACTGGAGCTGGAAGAAGAGGTAGACAAGTTGCGCTGGCATATTATTGGATTATCCGAGGTCCGAAGAGAGGGGGAGGACACGGCAATCCTCGAGTCCGGCAACTTGTTCTATCACCGGGAGGGCGACCATCTGTCCCAAGGAGGTGTCGGATTTATCGTCCACAAATCTCTCGTCAACAACGTTGTAAAGATTGGGAGTGTGTCGACGAGGGTCGCGTACCTGATACTCAGAATCACCAAACGGTATTCGCTGAAGGTCATTCAGGTTTACGCACCAACCTCGGCACATCCCGATGAGGAGGTGGAGGAAATGTATGAGGATATTTCCAGAGCCATACATTCCTCCAGAACCTACTACACGGTGTTGATGGGAGACTTCAACGCAAAACTGGGCACAAGAGAAAGCGGTGAGCTGAAGGTAGGGAAATTTGGAGTAGGGCAACGGAACCGAAGGGGCCAGCAGCTGGCCGACTTTATGGAGAAAGAGGGACTCTTTATGATGAACTCTTTCTTCCAGAAGCGGCCCCACAGGAAGTGGACCTGGTCGAGCCCCGACGGTTCGACAAAAAATGAGATTGACTTCATTATGACGACCAGACGCCAACTGTTCAGTGATGTCTCAGTGATCGCAAGGGTGAAAACTGGCAGCGATCACCGAATGGTTAGAGGCACACTGAACTTAAACGTTAAGTTGGAGAGGTCTCGTCTAATGAAGTCAACGCTCCGTCCCCCTCGTGCTCTAATCCAGAATCCCGAAACCTTTCAGCTCGAGTTACGTAACCGCTTCCAGTGCCTAGAAGATTGCAATGCAGTGGACGATATGAACGACAAGCTCGTGGAAACTGTCCATGCGGTCGGAGCTAAGTTCTGTAAGACCCGCCGCAGAAGAACACAAAAACTCTCCGATCACACTCTTAATCTCATGGCTGTTAGACGGGAGATGAGGCTGCAATCGTCAACAGATTTGACAGCATACAGGCAACTGAACAGACAGATCTCCAAATGCATACGGCGAGACTTACGCAACTTTAATACTTCTCGTATTAAAGAAGCGATCGAGCGGAACCAGGGCTCCAAAGTCTTTGCCAGAGATCTGTCTGCCAGAAAGAGCCAACTGTCAAGGCTGAAGACTGAGTGTGGCAACATCGTTTCCGGGACACCTGAGATTTTGAGTGAGATTGAGAGGTTCTATGGGCAGCTGTACACATCATCGTTGGAGCCACACGCAAGTGTGAGTAACGATCCAAGAGCAAGTCTTATCCGACACTATTCCGATGATATCCCGGACGTCAGTCTAAGCGAGATTAGAATGGCTCTCCAGCACCTTAAAAACGGCAGGGCCCCAGGCGAGGATGGAATTACAGCGGAGCTTCTGAAAGCGGGTGGAACACCGGTACTTGAAGTCCTTCAGAAGCTCTTCAATTCCGTCCTCCATGGTGGCACTACTCCAGAGGCGTGGAGCAGAAGTGCGGTGGTCTTGTTCTTTAAGAAAGGCGACAACGCTCTCTTAAAGAACTACAGACCGATTTCCCTTCTGAGCCGCGTCTACGTGCTGTTTTCGAGAGTCATTACGAATCGTCTCGCACGCAGACTTGACGACTTCCAGCCTCCCGAACAAGCCGGTTTCCGAAAAGGCTTCAGTACCATAGACCACATACATACCCTGCGGCAGATTGTGCAGAAGACTGAAGAGTACAATCTGCCACTTTGCCTGGCGTATGTGGACTATGAGAAAGCCTTTGATTCCGTCGAAATTTGGGCGGTGCTACAGTCCCTTCAGCGGTGCCAAGTTGACTGTCGGTATATCGAAGTGCTGAAGTGTTTGTACAGTAGGGCTACGATGGCTATCCGAGTACAGAACCAGAGCTCGAAACCTATCCAACTGCAGAGAGGTGTAAGACAGGGTGACGTTATATCCCCCGAAACTCTTCACCGCTGCATTGGAAGACGTTTTCAAGCTACTGGACTGGAAAGGATACGGTATTGACATCAATGGCGAGTACATCACTCACCTTCGATTTGCCGACGATATAGTCCTTATGGCAGAATCGCTGGAGGACTTAAGCACTATGCTCAATGACCTCAATAGTGCCTCCCAACGGATAGGTCTTAAGATGAACATGGACAAAACAAAGATCATGTTCAATGTCCATGTCACACCTATGCCGGTAGTTGTTGGGAGCACTATGCTCGAAGTTGTTGACGAATACGTTTACCTGGGACAAATAGTCCGACTAGGTAAGTCCAACTTCGACCGAGAGGTCAATCGACGGATTCAACTCGGCTGGGCAGCGTTCGGGAAATTACGGCATATCTTTTCGTCAGGTATACCTCAATCTCTAAAAACTAGATTGTACAACCAGTGCGTGTTGCCAGTGATGACTTACGGATCTGAGACGTGGTCCTTCACTGCTGGCCGTATGAGGACGCTTAAGGTCGCTCAGCGAGCTATGGAGAGGGCTATGCTCGGAGTTTCTCTGCGTGATAGACTCAGAAATGAGGATATCCGCAGTAAAACCAGAGTGACCGACATAGCCCAACGGATTAGTAAGCTGAAGTGGCAATGGGCCGGCCATATAGCTCGAAGAACCGATAACCGATGGGGAAGAAAGGTTCTCGAGTGGCAGCCTCGTACCGGTAGGCGTAGTGTAGGGCGACCCCCCACTAGATGGAGTGACGACCTGGTAAGACATGCAGGAAGTCGATGGATGCAGGTGGCTCAGGACCGTGCTTTGTGGCATTACTTGGGGGAGGCCTATGTTCAGCAGTGGACTTGTGAAGGGCTGTAATGATGATGATGATGATGAAGTATATTTTCAAGCGACTTAAAAAGGAGGACGTTCTCAATTCGTCTGTATTGTTTTTTTAATTGTGTTATCTCAGAACTTTTTTCTAGATGAACCGTTTTTGTGACATTGATGATGTTCTCATTTTATTTTATAGGTCCGGGGAAAATTCTTCGTGTTTTGTTTGTATAAAATTGAAGAAAAGTATCTTTGGTTGTACTGTTTGTATCTGGCTGGTTTTAATATCAATACATATAGGACATAAAGAAAAAAAGGCAAAAAACACTTTCCCGCCATTTTTCAATTGTTTTTCTGTTCAATTGTTTTTCTGTCTGCCAAAATGAGTGAATCTAATGGTGGCCAGTGGCCACACACGGTCAGTTCAACTGATCAGTTCAAACTAAAACTGTTGATATTAGAGAATACTTTTGATTGTGTAATTTTGCGTATTTTGGCCTATATTCAACAGTATACATGAAAAGCCTAACAAGATTTAATAAGCTATAATGATCATATCTGTGCTATTTAGGTACTTATTATGAGTAAGTACTACACTAGTAAGTAGTAACCACTATAGGTATTAGCGTTGAAATTAATAGAGTTAATTATTCTGTTTAATTAATAATTATTTTTAAAATGTCATTATTTTAGTTTATATTTCATAACCATACATAATCATACGTAGGTATTATCTTTATCTGCTTGTTTATAAAGAAAATTCTTTCAGACATACACTTGTAACATAATAATAAGTAATTAGGTATTTAAAATAAGCGACGAAAACTGACTTTTTCACTAGTTACTTTTTTCTACATCAAAGTTAAGGATTAATCACAAACTAGATATGACTGCTGATAATCATTACTCATCTAAAAATTTCACTAAATCACAACAGGAACTAAAACGATACGTTGTCCATTTATCTGGTTTAAATACTCACAATATATTATTAATACAAATAACAAGAGTTGCTTCACCATTGTTTTAGCTATTTACATTATTCTACAGGTGGAAAGTTGAAACTACACTGTATTGTCGCGCGCTAGGGAGTGTCTGATAGGAGATAGATAAGATAAAATCATTGTGCGACGCGGGAATTAAACGCCTTTGCAATTTTTTTTTTATAATTACATGTTGAAATAGGATAACATGATAGCGCTAAACCAAATTGGCGTAGTTTTAAATAAATCTAAAAAGTCGGGAGCTACACAAACACTCTACCCGGTCTACCATTTTAGGATCCAATTGATTGTTATTCTTTTCATGAAGGCTTTTATAACCCGCTGTATGTTTTCGGTGTTATGCGCTTCTTGTAAAGTAGGTTCAATGCCACCACACAGACACAAAACTAACGATTGTATTTAATGAAATTAAATTTTAAACGTATTTTATTTAAATATTTGATTTTATCGCGTAGTCGTGATTAACAATTAGTGGAAGGTTGAAAACTTCAGTCCCCTGGTATTGGTGTACTGTTGTTATTCTGCACTATGGCCCCATTAGCTCTTGCTTTGAAGACACAGTACACATTGTGATCAGAGGGAATTACACACGCTGGTAAACTATTTTACTCCATTGCATTGCTGTAGGTACACATTACGAACGACGATGCACACCGTTTAATTTCAACACGTATTCCTGCGCACATTCTCCAGAATGTATGGATCCTAGAACGATATAGTGTTGAGGGCTCCTCTGCGCCTCGTTGGTGTAGTGGTCGAAAACGTTTGCTATCATGCTTTCGTCGCGATTTTTAATCTATATGCTACACGCGGAATAAAATTAGTTTTACGGATTATATCGCCTTTAATTTTAACTTTTTTATTCCTGAAGTTTCGGGTACTTTACAGCACCTACGGTCATGGGGGGGGGGGGGGCTGTAGAACCAAATTCAGGAAGTTCGTGTCAGAATATCGTTCCATTAGACTATGAGAGTGAGTGAATACAGAGTATACCAAGCTTTCGTATATACTCGGGTACTACGAGTATAATTCTAATCTGTAAAGATGGCTAATTTCCATTGAGACTGACCATCGTGATCGACATTCGGTTTGGGGGACGTTATTACTCTATGCTTATGCTAAGACTGACAAGACTCGCAGGAAATAGGAACCAGGGTGAGTGTGGGCTCTTTTTAGTGGTGAATAGAAACGCTTGGATTCTGTTGGCGTCGAATCCTATATGACATTTGTATCACCTAATTAGGAGACAGCCAGCAGCTAGAGACTAGGTGTTTTTTTTTGTAATCTGAAGTAATAATCGAACTTACAGTCCACCAAGTGGTAAGTGTTCCCTGAGTCCATGGCCACCCACAGCCAACTTTAAAAGAGGAAGCCTACAGATGCATTGCCATCTCTGAGCACTAAGATAAAATGCTTCACATCCTGAAATTATACTGACTCTACTCTTCAATCAAACGTATAACTATATATATACATAATTCAATCCAGAACAGCAGTGCAATCAATGCTATTTGGCAGCAGAAATAGAAGTCTACCACCTGTATACTGACTATAGTCAGGTACCCTGATCTCTGACCATCAGGCCACAAACTACTAGTAGAGGATTTTTTACAAGTTAATGATGATAATGATGATCATGTCGATAGCCTGGAGTCATTACTTTAGGTATTCTTACAAAGCACTCTATTCACTTTTGATTATTATAAATAACAACAAAATATAAAAATAAATTACATTTTTATTTATTAAAAATAAACCCCTTCGACTATACACTTCATAACACCAGTCTCTGGTTACTTTATTGACGAAGTTTACATAATATTGCTAACACCTGGAGTATGTGCCTTAATAAAATTAAAATAAACACTAAGCTAAAATAACTTGTACCACAAAAATTGCAGCCTAAGAAAAACTCGGCACAATAAATTCTAATGAAATTAAAGCATGCATAATGTTATTTCTCGTTTTTATTAAGTATAAATAAGATATTACATTAAAGTAAATAAAAATGGAAATTCATATGAACATACTGATATTACATAACCCTGCGCTCTTCTTTATAGCTTATTGCTTATAAACCGTCCATCCTTAAAAGTCCATGCTGAACAAAAACCGCTCCTATAGCGTTTGTTATGATCATCTCGCTTGACAGTTTCACACTATGATCCTGCCTATCTTATATAATGACGAATAAATACGAAATGATTATACCCCAATCTTTTGTAGGGCTACGTTGGCTTTACAGGTATTGTTAAAGCCGAAGCATTATCATTTGGGAAATGAGATTGCTTGATGGATATAGAGGGTATAGTGTTTTAAAATGATTTATGATAGTTTGTTTGTTGTTTATATTATATTATATAATATTTATTATATATCAGTCAAACAAGTCATAGCTTACACACAAACTAACTAAGAATGACCCTTTGTGCTACTTGATTTGAGTAATTCAGAATTCACTTTTACAGTAGGTACTTCATTAAATATTAAGAACTACCTAGCTAAATATTAAGAATATAGTAATTTTAATTTAAACATATATGAATGTATGTACAAACATGTATGTATACAACAGCACTTGTTTTCACATACAATTTGATGATCACTTACAGCTTGACTTTACTACTTTAAAACTAAAAATACATATTTGTCAATTTACAACTTAAAATGACACACCTCATAGAACATAACCTTAGTTGAATTATTTTTAACCTAAAAGAAATTAAATTTTGGTAACAATATATGAAATTGTAACAAAAATGAAAAATTAAAGATATGTTCCTATTTAATATAATGTTGATCACAACAATTTACCTGAGCTACAAATCCATATCTATCAACATCTTACTTAATATATTTTATTCATTGATCAATATTTTGAAGATATTTGTGCTCAAAAAATTAATTCTTAAGTAGCAACATCTTACATAATAAATCTTACTGCTGTGCACAAGCCTCATCTAATTTTTAGGTTATGAATCAAAAATAGAGCTGTACTAGTGTGACTGTGTAGTGGACTTCCAAGTCAGATGTATTTTTTTCAAATATAATTGTGAATTTTTCAGTTATGTAATGCATATTTCTATTGATATTATGCATCACTGTGACAGATTCTTTAAACAGAATAAGTTAATTAATAAAAAATATGAAAATAAAAAATAATTACTTGTGGAGCTACATTTGTTCTAGAATGTAAAAGTATTAATTGGTATTAATTTAACTTAAATTGAACTAATGAAGAAATAAAGTTAATTGATAAATGTAAGTTACAATATAAAATAAAAATAAGCATCATGATTATCGTAAAACTAATTTGGCAGGTTTTCCATCTATCTGACGAGATGATCCATTTTTAAGAGTAAACTCCCTTTTTATGTAAGCAAACAATAAGTCCGTTATTAGGAAAATTTGAGCAGTTGCAAATGAAAGGGTCACTCCAAAGAAAAAGTTAGCATTTGCTGAACCAGAATAAATCCATAGATGCCATACTGTTGGTCCAAGTGCTGACGTTATAATAAATGCACATCCCACAATAAACTTCTGTTGCATAACTGAAAAGACACAATCAATTAGTTAAAAAGTTGAATTACTCAGTTAATGCTAATATAATACAATTATGAAAATATGACATACATGTAAATAAATGCTTCCACATAGGCAATAGAGCCAAATAAAATCCAACATCACCCACACAAGGATAGGATCTAAATATGGCTGACAGAGCTATCAACACTGTGGCCAGAAGGACAGGCTCTTTCTTAAATCTCAGGGTAAGTGGAACAATATATAGTGCTAATGCATTTATCTGGAACGCACATACAAACAGTAGCCTAAAATGTTCAAACATTTCTGTGAAGAAATACCAAAACAAACCAATGTTTGGCTTTAGATCTGGCACTGTTAATCTGAAATAAAAAATATATTTTTGTTAGTAAAGAAACCTAGAGATTGTCTATTTTCCATTCAAATTTATAAATAAGCAAATGATTGATTTTCCGTGTATCTTAACATATGAGTAAAGGAGAAAAGACCATTAATAAAAGGATGATTGAGTAACTGAACAGAGGACTAAATGGTAAGTCATAAAGTAAGGAAGAAGAGAAAGATATAAGACGGGGTCAGGCGCATTCTGTGAGCAAGAGTTAGGTAAGGAGTGGATTATTAGTAATTAAAATAAAAGAAGTTTTAGTTTTGGGGAAATTCTTTCTTTTTAAATTATACCGATCCTATATACATAACACTTATCATCATTTTAATTAATTTGAAAGAACAATGTTTTGTTTCAACATGACAGGATTTGAGTCCTAATATAGTTATTGTGACATTAAAGTACCCATATGCTTTATAAATCTACAGCATTTAATAGATTATGGAATAAAATTTAGCGGTTTAGTATACACTGAATGTTGACAGGAAATGACATCTAAGGAAGAATGCACCAGCAGGTGTAGATTTCTTTAATTGACCATATTCATCAAGCTAGATGCGAAGTACTGTGAATACAGACCTAAAATCAAAACTTCTTTTATTTTAAATACTAACAATAATCCACTTCTTAAGCATTTTGCTCTCAGATTCTGCTCTCATCTTGTCTCTTAATTAAGTTAAAATTCAGTTAATAGAATTTTTTATTGAGTTAAATAAAAACTTACATAAATCCATAAGTATTGTATACATATTTATATGATCCATCCATTATATATGCTGAAAAATATATTAAGAATCCCCAACATAGTACAAAAACCAGTAAAGTTCTTATGTATGAACATTTATTACATCCTTTATTTACGTCTGCTAATAATATTGAAATAGGAACTATAAGCAGAACTGGATATAAGGCTTGATGTGTAGCAAGGGCAATGAATGCGCAAGCCAATATTCTGTAACCACTTGAGGCTCCAAATAATGATGCCGCAAGAAATAAGTTCTGAATGACTGTAGTTGTCATGCCAGCGCAGTTTAGTACAGAGTATGGATTAAACAGGTATACAGAAAGAACATATTCAGGCGCTTCATTT